GCCGGCTTCTGGACCTAGGAATTGGACGACCTGACCCTCAGCAGATGCCAACCGCTTCCGTATGTATTTCCATTGGACTACAGATATGCCTTATTGTATTCTTCACAATGTGAGTGTTCATTCACACCATCGTTTTGCAAATAAAGTGTTTTACGGTCTGCACTCAGTGGCACCTTCTTTTATTCTTTTTTTACATGTGACATTGGAGACCTGCTTCTACAATACCCTGAAGGCTGCCTGGAGGTACTAACCGCTTTTGGTCCCCCCGTGGACTCTCTGCTGGATCTAGCAAGTGGTCCCTGTTTCCCCCATTCTTTCCCCCCCCCCTCATTTTCGCTCTATACTACCCACCCCCTAGTGGAGTTATGGACCTAATTATGGAAATCTAACTTGCGCCAACTCATCCTATGTATGATTAATAAAAGTATTTAAAGGAGACAAAAAAAATCAGTATATTCTAGTTACTAATTTATGTTTTTTAAATATTCTAATTCCATATATTCTAAATTAAATATAACTAAAAATAAATAAATAAAAATAAATATATATATATATATATATATATATATATATATATAGTGTTTTTTTTATGTTACTATCGAATACCAGCCATGGCACTACCTGCCTGGAGCTTGCATGTTCTCCCTGTGCCTGCGTTGGTTTCCTCCAGGTACTCTGGTTTACTCCTACACTCTAAAGACATGCTGGTAGGTTAATTGGATCCTGTCTAAATTGGCCCTAGTATGTGTATTTATGAATGTAAGTTAGGGAGCTTAGATTGTACGCTCCTTGAGGGTTAGGGACTGATGTGAATGTACAATATATATGTAACGTGCTGCATAAATTGATGGCGCTTTATAAGTACCTGAAATAATAATAATTATGCATCGCTTTTTTGCAATACAGTTTTTTTGCAAAAGCATGCAGTACCCTCTCTCAGTCTGCAGGTGTCACTCTTGCAACTGAACACCCTGCAGACAATGTGGTCAGTGTCTGGACCCCTGTGTGTGTGAACACAAGTAGAAGATGTGACACCTGCAATAATATTACGGATATTTCAAGAGCCTCTGACACCACTATCTCCCATATGCACCACTTAATTTTACCATGTACATGTGCTGCATCTACCATATTCATGTTCAATGCGTACAATCAGCTTTTCACAGTGACTTTTTTTTACACCTGCGTTAAACAAAAACGTTAATCCACACCCCGGGTTTAATTGTTCTGCTTGTTCGATTTTTCTTTTCTAAATCCATTTATCTGAAATCTGCATTATTCCATGATTAGATATTTTTTTAACTCCTCATTGTTCTCTCCTTGTTTTGGTTCTCAGGATTTGCAACAAAAGCCACCGGCCCCTGGGACGCCATCATTTGCATGCACCGAGTGACGCCTGGGGACGCAGTAATTGCTAATGCATATTTATGGGCCACAAATTTGCCATTTGTTTATGCATAAAATTATCAGTAGTGGAGGATGGCCCCACTGTGGAAAATGGTGACCTTTTTAGCTTAATAAATAGAAATCAGCTGTTATTGTACAAAGATCAGCCATTTAACGGGAGTGAAGGAATACGCCGCGGAAAATGTATATTGGCGCTGGATGTATCATTAAATGGAAGGGACGCTGACCCGTTCGGCCTAGTCTATTACACTCTCTCTAATGGAGGATAAATGTTTCTCGGGAATAAATTGAAAGTTCCTGAGCTCCGGCAAAGCCGCGTTCCGAAATACAGAGCAGGTGGAGACACATTAAAGGCCAACTAAACCGAAAAAAAGAAAAAGTTATTTTTATACGGCGGAGCTCCGGTCACATCCACAATAAACCGCGTACGTCAAAGTCTCCGCAGCTGAAAAGGAGATCATTAACATTTGTGTGTCCTTTACTATACACGTGTTGTCCTGGGGGCCCCTTTACACTTTGCGTTTATCTCTATAACGCAGCACAAAACCGCGCCGAATGTGCAGGAATAAATCCGTACATTTCTATTGAACAGTGCCATTTAGATCTATACATTTAGGTGCTGCTTCTAGAGCCATGAATGGTGCTAAGTGTATCATATCGCATGGAAAGTTCCATCTGCTTTCTAAACTGCGCAATCGGTGATGAACACATTAAAACTGAACTCCTGGCAGATACAATAAACACAAATTATATGTATTGATTACTACATCATTACATTTATTCCAATCTGACCAGGTAGCAGCCTCCTGCATTCTCCTATACAGCAGAGCTCAGACTGTGAGACAGAGACGCAGCCGACAAAGCCAATTAGATGTGCTACAATACTAACACAGAACATGCTGATAGAAGGAGACAGCAAAGTGACAGAGAGATGAGATCATCAGTCTGCTGATCCTCCTTTCACTGTCCAATCACAGGCCAGGGGAGCGACAAGGTCAGTGTTTCTGAGCTAAACAAATATGACACCTTCTTAAGGCTAATACAAGAATAAATGTAATTATTTATATATTTGATTCAGTTAGAATTGGTTAAAATATTGTAACCCAGGCCATTCCCCTCCCCCCTCCCCACTTAACCCCTACCCACTCACAATGGCATAGAAATGTAACCCTTCCCTCCCAACCCTACCTACCCACAAGTGCCCTCTTAGGAGGAGTGGGGAGGGGGGCTAGGGCAGGGGTAGGCGACCTGAGAGCCGCAGGACTACAAGTTCCATCATGCCACTGCAAGTCATAGCTGTAACTGTCAGTTTGGTAATGTTGCAATGCCTCATGGGAAATGTAGTTCCACAATAGCTAGAGAGCCACAGATTGCCTACCCCTGGGCTAGGGGAATGGCTTAGGTTACCACATTGAGAAGATTTTAACCAATTATAAATGAACAAATGTATTCTTGTAGTAACCTTCAGAAGGTGTCATGTCAGTTTTTTTTCTCTTTTTTTTGGTATATAGTATTCAGGTTGGAGACACTCCCCAATAAATGGGTTTTGGCATACTTTACACACACGGGCAGCTCCCTGGAATGATCGATTTATATCTGCTTGTATTATTTGTACTATGTATTATGTACTGGATGCTAATTAGTTAGGCACCTTAACATAGATGTAAATCCAATCACTATAGTCTCAAACACGTATAACCCCAGGCACAATTCTTTTTTTGGTTTTAGTGGGAAAAACATTTTTTTGTCTGTGGCCCCACTGGTAGAACAGGAAGTAAGAGAATATTTCCCAAAAGGGGCACAGATGTCAAGAAAAACTGACATAGGGCCCTTTCATGCGGGCGTTCCCTATGTACGTTTTTCATCTGTCCATTTATGGATGGAAAACAAACACCTGTGTATTTCTGTGGACTAGCGGATGTAAACGGATGATCATCTGTTTACATCCGTTAATGTCCGAATCCGTTAACATTAATTTTTTTTGAATGGAAGAAAACCCTATTTTTCTTCTGTTAAAAAAACGTAACAGCCAAAAAACAGATCTAAATGGACAAAAGCGGATGTAAACGGACAAAAAACGAACAAAAAAAGGATGTAAACAGATGAAAAATGGATGTAAACTGATGAATAATGGATGAAAATGGATGAAAAATGGATGTAAACTGATAAAAAAAAAAAGGATGTAAACGGATGCAAACAGATGAAAAACAGATGTAAACTGCTAAAAAAAATGGATGTAAACTGATAAAAAAAAAAAAACGGATGTAAACTGATGAAAAACAGATGTAAACTGCTAAAAAAAAAAACGGATGTAAACTGATAAAAAAAAACGGATGTAAACTGATGAAAAACAGATGTAAACTGCTAAAAAAAACGGATGTAAACTGATAAAAAAAAAAACGGATGTAAACTGATGAAAAACAGATGTAAACTGCTAAAAAACAGATGTAAACAGATGAAAAAGAGATGTAAACTGCTAAAAAAAGGATGTAAACTGATAAAAAAGAACGGATGTAAACGGATAAAAAAACGGATGTAAACTGCTAAAAAAAGGATGTAAACTGATAAAAAAAAAAAAAAAAACGGATGTAAACTGATAAAAAAAAAACGGATGTAAACTGCTAAAAAAAAAACAGATGTAAACTGATAAAAAAAGGGATGTAAACTGATAAAAAAAAACGGATGTAAACTGATAAAAAAAAACTGATGTACACTGATAAAAACGGATATAAACAGATGAAAAACAGATGTAAACTGATAAAAAACAGATGTAAACTGATGAAAAAACTAATGTGAACTGATCTGTTTTTTTTTCTTGGAAAAAATGTGACTGAACTGATGAAAAATATGGAACACGCGTGTGAAAGGGGCCATAGGGTTCAAATCACAGGGCTTTAAAACTTAACGTTTAATCTTCTTATGTTGCTTCCCCACCTCCCCACACCAACATACTAATAAAATGCTTAAATAGAATCTTTCAGTTTTCATTGCATACCTTATTTTAGATACAGTGACATAATCACTAGGTCTCTGTGCTTTTCTATGCAATTGCAGGCAGGTCATGGCGGTTGGGAGGGGCTAGAAGGGTGCTGCACTGAAAACATCACAGCACCCTGTGTCAGGGTCAATAGTCTTTAGTCCTGATGCAAGCAGTGGGCTGGCCCTGGGAGGAGTTATTCAAATACAGAAACGCTTTGATGGGTGAAATTCAGTGTATTCCTATGCAATCTGTATTTGCACGTAGACCACCCTAGGTAATGCCCACATGTGATGCTGAACCTCCATGATTGAAGGAACTGAAATCCAATGAATGAAAGGGGTAGACCACGGATAGTCATGCCGAGAAAGAAAGAGCTAAATGATGCTGGATGTCCTCCAGCCAGGAAATGCGTCAGGCTTTGATTTGCTGCAGCTTCTAATGCACATCATGAGAAGCTCACAACATGTAGTGAAATCAGGCTAAGCAATTTCAGTCCAGGAGAGGAGTCTAAACAACTGCACAAAACTGAATGAGAGTTCATCTTTAAAGTGTTACTAAACCCACAACAGTAAATCAGTCTGTATGCAGTAAAGCATGCTTGTTATACCCACTGTGGAACAGGGGCGGACTGACCATTTGAGAACTCGGGCACTGCCCGAGGGCCCGGGCTCAGTAGGGGGCCCCATGACATGCCCCTGGTACCTTTCATAGCCTTTTGGGTGTGGTTTGAGTGTGGGTGAGGACACAGGGGCTCCATGATCCCCTATTGCCCAGGGGCCCCATGAGTTGTCAGTCCGCCCCTGCTGTGGAACCTAAGGGGTTAATCCTCTGCATTGTGTAAAACAAAAAGTGGTTTGATCCTATTTTCTCTGCCCCTCCTCTTGTTCAAATGTCAAACTAAAGACAGACTGAACCTGTAGCCACATGCACATGCTCAGTTTAGTGTGTATTGCTAGAGAGTTTTTTTTTTCTTTAGAGAGTGCATGTGATCAGCACAGGGCCAATCAGCACTGTCCAGACAGAGGTCAGCAGCTTTCTAGAGCAAAATGAAAACTCTTCCTACAAGCTTTAACATGTGCTCTCCTGGACACTGATAGAAGTCACAAGACTGTTGTAACTGCTGATGAGAAAAGGTATTTAGCAGTTTATATTTACTAAAATAATTACATTTCCATGTTCTGTGTGCTGTGGGACACCAGATATAGTGAATGCAGGGTCCGGGGTTTAGTAACACTTTAACTTGAATGAAGACAGCATACAAATTATTAGTGATATAGAAAATGGCCGCTGCACCTTTAGTGGTTTAATAGATGAAATGAAAACATGTTTAATAAATTCAAATAAATACTGAGATATAATACATTTAAACACATATTGCTCAGTCATAGAACTCAAATACTAAGGAAGGAGCTTTATTTCAGCCATGTGGAATGTGATGTATAAGTGACAGTTGTTTGCACTTAACTGAAAACAACTGTCACTTCCACAGTAAGTCTGCTTATCCTGTGTGTTAGCTGTGTGAACTGAGCTTAGGTTCTCTAACCTTTCTCTGCTTTATACAAAAGAAAATCTTTTAGCTTTACATAGAAGCCATCACCAGGTCACCTATCAAGCAGGACAGGGATATTGTTAAACTTTTACTAAGGCGACTACATCTGTAAATATCGACTCAGATATCGTCATTTACACAATCTTTGTTCTTCCATTTAAAAGAACACTCATTAAGCTCCCCACTAGAATTCTTTCAAATTAGCCCAGAACGGAACGTCACACTAACACGCTTCGTCAGTTCCCATAAAAAGAGGTCAGGGAGACAGCGGTACGGGGGTCGTGTCACATCATATCGAGCTGCGTTCACCAGGAGTGACGCCGCCGCGCTGCGGTGTAATATTCAGGAACGAGATGTCTGATTAATGAGATGCAAGAAACACAATGAACGTGTCACTTCTCCTTCCGATCCTACATAGATCTTAATTTCCTCCACTTTGTCTGACACGGCTGCGATAATGAAATACAGTTACAGTGTAAAGAGTGTGATTTGAACAGCACGGCGCAAATAGTGAGCGGGGGGGGGGGGGGGGATATGTTGGGGTTTAGAAAATTCTGAGCGCTGTTTGCTGGGGTGAATCTGTCATACCTGAAACAAGATCACGGTGCTATGGAGCAGACTGAGAAAATGTAGAGACCACTTCTTACAGTCATGCTGTATTGTGACATTTCCAAAAAACTTGTTATTTTAGAAACATTTATTGAAGCCAAAATAAAAATCAGATACTGAGCTCAATGACTCAAGCTGAAGTTTTCACACCCTCATGAATGAATTACAATAGTGACTCCTCCCACACTAGAGCACTGGAACCTCCCCCTCTCTCCCCCTTGCTCCCTCTGTAGTTCCTTTGGAGGTTTCAATTAGACACAGAGGGGTTTATTTACTAAAGCTGGAGAGTCCAAAATCAGACTCCCTTCTGCATAGAAACCAATCAGCTTCCAGGTTTCATTGCCAAAGCTTCATTGAACAAGCTGAGGTGGTTTCTATGCAGAAACCAATCAGATGCTGATTGGTTTCTATGCAGAAGGGAGTCTGATTTTGGACTCTCCAGCTTTAGTAAATAAACCCCAGAGTGTCCAAAAGGAAGCGTCTGCTGTCTCTTCAGAAAATCCATAGTGCTCTGGAAATTCAGCGTCATTGGTGCACCCTGTATTAAATGTTTATTTATAAAACACAGATTATATACATATAGTAAAAATCAGATAGTAAACAGTAAACAAAAAATATATTATATAGCATCTTACCAATCATTAGATATGGCAGCTGTATTAGGTTTTTTTCTGTGGCCTTTTTCCCTTCTGTTTTCACCTGGTGATCTGGCCAATAACACAGCTCCTGTATTGATGAGACATACCTCTGGATGAATGAGCACAGGAGGCACAGCAGACAGCTGCATTGTCAGTCTTGTGGGAGGGGAGTGTTGAATGTATTAGCAGATTTAATTACACTAACAAACGGAAGCCAAACTCCATTTCATACTTTATAATCAGTTACAGCAAATATTTTTTTCCTTTGGGATAAAGGTTTTACATAAATAAATAAATAAATAAATAAAAGCTGATTATGTTAAAGCGGCGTTCCAACCATTTTTACTAATTTGCCTTATTAGATATTCCCTGTGAAAAGAAGCTGGAAATGTTTTTTTTTTCATATATACATACCTTTTTATCCTCTGCAAGCCTGCAGTTCAGGTCCCGACCGCCTAGGCGATGACGTAGATAGGCGATTTGCAAGGTCTCCTGGGATGTGTTTTCCTGTATCCCAGGAGTCCTTTGGTCTCCTGTGCTCGCAAGCCTTCCTTGCAGTGCTGTACAGGTTGCCTGATGTGGGGGGGGCGGGAACTTCATCAGTCCCCACCATTGCTATGGCAACCTGTACTGCACACATCACGCCGAGCATTGTCTGTACTGCGCATGCGCGAGAATGAGTGTTGCATGCTGGGATAACCAGCTGCAAGAATTCAGGAAGTAAAGACCTGCGGGCTTCAGATGCCCACAGCCATCATGGCGACTGCCTGCTTCACAGATCCTGATAAATATGAACGATTTGCAAAGTAATTACAATGATTTTAATATTGCATTATTCCAATTCTGAATGATATTTGTAATGTCATCGTGGATCTGCTTTTAAAAAGGGGGACTGGAACTCCGCTTTAACTACCCTTGCCAGTGATAAATGGTAAATGTCTCATCCATGTAAACTGATACATTCTGCTGAAGAGCTTGTGCATTAGAAAAACAGGCTTCCTGGCCAGATCACCAGCTGAAATTAAAGCCAGAAAGAAGAAACTTAATGCAGCCATCACATCTACGTCTAGGTTCACACCTAAGCATTTTGGGGTACGTTTTGCATTTTGCAGAAACGCACTACAGTCCATTTAACATGATTTCCTATGAGACACTTTCTACATTTTCACCTGGTGCATTTTTTGGAAAGGGTCAGGGACTTTTTTAAATGCAAAATGTTGAGTTTTTGGTTCAATACACTTCAATGGAGATACTGCAGAAATGCATGTAGTGCACCTTTGATGCGCTTTTGATGAGTTTAATGTTTTAATCTGCCCTGCAACAAGTTGGAAAAAAAAAAAAGCAAAACGCATAAAAAAAGACAAAACCGCATGTGCAAAAATGCAAAATGCACCACAAAAAACACTGCAGAAACAAATCAAACGCAAACTGCACAAGTGTGAACCTACTGTAAGAATTGGTAAGCTGCAATATAATAAATGTTTGCTTTTTGGTTTAACACTTGGTTCACACTGATGTGGGAAATACACAGGAATCGCTGTGTTTCTCTGCATTGCACAGCATAGCAATAGCACTGTGTTTATGTGATCTGCTACGGGTGTCAATTAAAGGTTAACAACACCCCAAAAGCAAGTTGCATAATGCAGGGTGTTTGCCTGAATTAGATCACATGGGTATGAACACCCATGCAATCCGATTCCAGTGCGGCAAAAAAAAGATGCATTGCGACTTGAGCCATACAAAATAAGGGGTTCAAATTTCACCACACAAAATCGCGGTGCAATTCCTGTGCGAATCACATGCAATATGACAGTGTGAATTGGAGCTAATACTGCTTAAATTCAAAAACTTACAAAAAATTGAAAATTAAATTGACCCAAATTATTAAAGTTTTCTTTTAACCTGAGCAATGGCAGAATTGTGGGAAACTATACAAACTATTTATGAACTTCTGAATCAGCAGGGCTAAAAATAACAATGTGGGCCAGATCCAGATCTCACCAGAAAAGGAAAAGAAAGCAGTTTGCATTCCTGTGCAATTCCTATGCGACTCAGTGCTGTGTGATTTTCAGCCCATTCACTTGAACGGGCTGAAAACACAGTGGATCACACCACAAGTAGTGCGTGCACTACTTTTCAAAAATGCACTGCATCAGATTGCATGGTACTGTGGAACCATGCGATCTGGTGCAGTCAAACACCAGATCTGTATTTGGGGTGTCGTTAGGACTATATTGACACCTGCAGCAGATCGCACACCCAGTCCGTTGTGAATGCAGATCAGGAAACGGCATGGAAACGCCGGTTTCCCATACTGTGTTTTAGTGTGAACAAGCCCTTAGAAGTAAAACCTAGACTTAAAAAATGTAAGTCCCAATTGGCTGTATAATGTATAGACAACGACAGAAGCAAAGGAAGATTTTACCTGGAGAGCATTGTCATATTGCCAAAAAAGAACCTGCGCATTTCCTGTTGTCGGTAAATCATGTATACGTCCTTAGTGTTGTCTAGGAACAAGCAAAGGCAAATGATCAATTTTGCTTTGGACTTCAATTTCCTTTTCAGCCACTTATTCCGAATTTACATGAATAAAAAAAAATCTCTTCAGTTAGTAGATATTTATAGCCCATTGCACCCTTAAAACCTTCTGTATTTCACCTTCCCCATTAACTTTGATGCATATTTCTGAAACGTCCAAATTTTGCCAAAATTTTGGGAAAATGAAAATGATCGGTTTTGCTCACCCCTAAATAGGATGATTCTGTAAGTCAAACACTATTGTTGCTCTAGAACATGTTCATGTTGATCTATCTGATTGGTGGAGAACAGAAAATCCGCTGGATCGTAATTTAGGAATTGTATGAGTTTCGTAGGAATGGACAAATTTCAGGCAAATGATGCCAAACTGCAATTCAATATATGAAGCAATTCTTCCATTACTACTCTATAGGACGGATTTACTAAAACTGATGCACACAGACTGTGGTACGGCTGTGCATAGTAAACAACTAATTTGTTAGGTGTTATTGTCAAACCTGAAGTTAAAAGCTGATTGGCTGATCCTGTACATTGTATTTCTAGGTTGCATTCTGTGACCATTG